TTTTCCCATGTATTATACACTATTTTTTTCTGTCACAGGAAAAACAACGATTCAATATTGAGAAGATATTACATTACAATAAAATCACAAAATTATTGATGTGAAATTTGAAGTTCTTCAAGTAAACTTTTTCGATATTCGAATAAATAAGCCTACTTTCAGCGATTAATTTGAAAAAATGTCACTTTTGACATGTAGCGAAAGTCACGTGACCCCGATTGAGTAGACCATTTTTCATCTTTTTTGAAGCAAAACCTGACGTCCAACTCGAATTTCAACATCAGTCAATAATAAAAGTTTTTCCCATATGATGCTGACTTTATGAATGACACTGTATATGGCCTGAGTGACCACCGAGCCGTCGAATTGAAATACTGATTCTCCAAAAAAATCGACATTATATCCGAGGACTAATTGAATCGAGAATTCAACAGTTATAGAATCAACATAATATTTTAAGTAAATCAAATGTTTGAATAATTTGAAATCCTATAATGATATTGGATAATTTGTTTCTATTTACTCTGGTATCCACTAGCTAAATCAATTGAATCAACAGTTTGTAGTGAATCCGTCAACAAGCCAAGAGCCTTCTGTTTCATAATAAAATTAACAAATTATGGACTATTTAGTTTTTATTGTCTTTTATGGCCACTTTGCTCGACTGTAATAATAGTGTCAAGCTTTATAATCTTTATTAACATTTGAAAACGCTGTTTACCGTTTATTATCCTTTGAAATTATACCATTCCCCTGGAATGAATAAGTATAATGTTTCGTCGGTTTATTTCGTATATGAGTTGAATTTTTGCGATATCGATTCACTTATTTTTCAGTGTTTCCTGAAGAATATTCATTTTGGTATATTATATTTAAAAGAGTGACCTCCAGAACAACGACATCAGCGTCACCATGCGTTTTGGAAGCCGAAGTAAATTCGACAGACGTGGCGGCAATTTCAAAATTCAATTGATTATTGACCTCGTTATTGACGTTATCATTTGTATCTGTATCATTTCTGGAAAAGCAAGGAGCAGAATCAATGAAATTCAAAAATCATTCTTTCATGTTACTACATTGCAATAAAGAAAGAAGCACTGTGTATAATGCACTTCATCGACATTTTTCCTTGTATTCTTCCTGAAATGATCTTATTATGATTTGATAAAAAAGAAAACAAACATGATTCCAGTAACTTCTTTAATTCACAACAATATTTTCATAATTACCTGGAATCTGTCCAATAGTCCAATAACAACATATTTGCATTTATCAAAGCAATTTCCGAGCAATTTCACTTACAATTTCACTAATCAACATAATTATTTCACTACCGCCATTGGGAGTTCACATGATTGATTATTGCATAATATTTCTGTTTTGACTGTTTTCGCGATATGATTGAATATTAATGATCCATTTCCATTTCTGAAACTGAGTCCAACATTTCACGAAAAAAATTGAAATATGAACTGCACATCACATAAACAATAACAAAAGCAGTGATGATGGCGCAAAAATACGACCAGGGTCGATAATTTTTGAAACCGAAAAAATTATAGTAGAATGAAACTCATTTAAAAAAGAAGAGAGTATCACAGAAATGAAAGAAAAAACGAATCACGGTCAATCTAAAATCGGAAGGGGGTAAGTTTTTAAGGGCGAAAAATGGGATTTCTGGCAAAACTGCGAGTCCTATAGAAAAAAAGGCAAGGAAAAAAGTTGAATGGCAAAGTTGTAGGTAATAAAAAGATCTATGACTCTTGTGGATTTACTTTTTTTACGTAACTAAGTTTTTGGGTTTTTATTTTTAATTTTTATAAAAAAAGTTCTTTCCACAAAATGTTGTGTGAAAACTAACCTTTTCATGTTCCAAACACACTGTGCCTTTTTGATTTGAAATATTCATTTTTTCACCTCATTTAGACTTAATATCGAAAAAGCACACTAATTTTCAATCGAAAATTTTCGCGTCAGAATAAATATCTGGTTTTTCAAAAAAGCCGATGGGTTTATTGTTCGTTGAAATTTCTACTTTCCGATGGTGTAAAAAAATATACACATTACTGTGGTATGTATATGTTCTCAGAAAATGCAAAGAAACGAAAAAGCAGCAGTCACATTTTTTAGATGAAATCCCTCTTATATAAATATCCAATCTGTATTATTTAGAACAACTATTTTCGCATGCTTTTTGCAATCTCAATGTTTTATGGATTTGGATTTTTTTTTTCGTTCATCAATGTAACATGAAATCTTACGTTTTTCGAGTAATTAGTGTTAATTTCAATAAATATCTCAAAATTGTACATAATTTTCTAGAAAAATTCCGGATTCGCGATTCGATTCTTTGCATTTTCTGAGAAAATTTGCCATGGCAATGTATATATTTTTTTACCCCATCAGAAAGTAGAGATTTCAACAAACACAATGCCCATCAACTATTTTGAAAAAGCAGATATCTCAACGCAAGAATTTTCGATTGAAAATGAGGGTGCTTTTTCGATATTAAGTCGAAATTATGTGATAAAATTGATATTTCAAATCAAAAATTTACAGTGTATTTGGGACATAGATATGAGTTTCCATCAAATTCCGTGGAAACAAAGGACCACGAAAACATGAGAAATTGGTTCTCGGTCGAATTCGGTCGAATTGGTTGAAATTTTACCATGTTATCGAGGGATGGTTCATTAGAATAATATGTGAGTTTATAAAGTTTGATATGCTTGGTTTCTAAGATAAAATCCGACAAAGTTCTTAAAAACGTCGTATCGGGGTATATGATTGACAAAGAAAAAACTGTTTTTTTAGTATAAATATGACAAAGTAAGCAAGAAAACGTATTGATCGGATTGAGTATCGGACTAAAACTATAATGTCTCACCAAAATATAACTTGTTGATTTTGGCATAGTGCTAGATTTTTTTTTTAAATAATAGTTTTGGACCGTGCCTCGTGTATACCCTAATTTACAATAATTTATGTGATTATAACTGAGCATGTTTATGAGCTCCCATCAATTCATTATCTAGCTTACTTTGTCTAATTTGTTGGTATGTTGCTTAACGAGCACGGAATGATAGTGATTTCCTACGAGAATGAAGTAGGAAATTAGCATTCCGTGCAAGTTATGCACTATGATTTTTCTACGGCTATAGGCATTTTCGATTTCTTCGTCTTGAAGCCATTGATTTCCTGTCAAGTAATGCTGTAATCTATTAGACTGAGCTGTCATTGCTTGAAATTTGACGTTCCCTGGGCGATGATATTTTTCTGAAATAGTACCACAATGGAGTCATTGTGATATCAAATACGGAAAAAAAATTGATGACAAACAAAGTACCTCATTGATGTATCGAACACAGTAGAACAAGAGCAATTGTGTTATAGCCGTAGAAAAACTATTTTTTCATTGTCAATCCTAACCCGATACGAGGTTTTTACGAACTTTGTCGGCTTATATCTCAGAAACTGAGCATACACAACTTTTTGAACTCACATATTTTTCTAATATGCCACCTCATAACAACGTAGTAAAATTTCAGCCAATTTCCCATGTTTTCGTGATGCTGGTTCCTTTCTTTTTGATAAAATGAAAATAAAAAGCCAAATACTTGGCTATTTGAATCTTTCTCTAAAAGTTTTAGGATATGTGAAAAAAGTGTGGGTATTAAAGTTAGAGATCTTCTTCTTACCTACAACTTTGCTTTTCAACTTTTTTCCATTGGGCTCGTAGTATCGCAGGAAATCGAGATAAACTGTTTTTTAACCTTGAAAACCCACCCTTCCACCCCCTTCCACATCCTACCACAACTTTTTTTTCACTTTTTACCGTTTCCAAAGTCTTCAGCACTGGTCTACAAGCCCATTATGCGTAAAAAATCCTTTTTTCTCCGATTGGCAGCAAATATCAATTTTGCTGACACATATCAATCAACAAAGTATTACTTTTCCTGCCTAGGCAGCAAAGTGGGTACTTTGCTGATTGATATGTATCAGAAAAATTAAAAATCCATAAATCGTTTATAATTTCCTTCATATTCCATCCGAGACTTCTCCGGCAACAAATTCAACTCTATATTTTTTGCCACCTCCCTTATTAATGGAGGTGTAAGTATACTTCCAGGTCGCTATCACTGTCCATTATATAATAATTTGAATATACCGATATTTTTTCGCACAACTGTCAGACATTTCATGAATTGTCAAACCAACAACTGCGATTTCTATCAAATTTTATTTTAATTGAACACTATACAGGAAGAATAAAGAGATTGTGGGAATTGTATTAATTCGCAAATACAATATTCTCCCATATCATTATGAACAATCGGGGAAAAAATTATATGTTCAACTCGGCAGCAAAGTAGATTGACTGCCTTAGCTGGATTCCTAGCCTCGCTACGCTCGGCTATGAATTCAGCCACGGCAGTCAATCTACTACTTTGCTGAATAGTTAAACAAATAACTATTTTTTCCTTGCAGACCGAACTATCCGGCATCAAATGGCGCGTAAACTAGTATAGACGGAAACAGACAGGGCCGGCGTCGGAGGCTATTTGAATTTTTCTCTAAAATTTTTAGGATATGTGAAAAAAGTGCTGGTATGAAAGTTAGAGATCTTCTCATTACCTACAACTATGCTATTCAACTTTTTTCCCTGGGGCTCGTAGTATCGCAGGAAATCGAGATAAACTGTTTTTTAACCTTAAAAACTCCCCCCTACACCACTTCCTGACCTCAAATCCCCGTAATCTATTTTCCCTTTCATCTGTGTTATATTCTCTCTCTTTTCCAATGGGTTTCATCCTACTACTATACTTCTTTTTTCCACTTTTACCGTTTTCAAAGTCTTTAGCACCGGTCTATAAGCCCGCGTTATGCGTAAAAAATCCTTCTTTTTCCTTGCAGACTTGTAGATTCGCAGGGAATCGAGATTAACCGTTTTTCAATCGTGAAACTCCCTCTCATCTTTGTTATGTTCTCTCTCTTTTCCAATGGGTTTCATCCTACTACTAAACTTTTTTTTTTTTCATTTTTACCGTTTTCAAAGTCTGCAGCACTGGTCTACAAGCCCGTTATGCGTAAAAAATCCTTCGTTTCCCTTGCAGACCGAACTATCCGGCATCAAATGGCGTAAACTAGTATGGACGGAAACGGACAGGACCGGCGTCGGAGGCGGCGGCATCCACCACCCCCACCACCACTCCTCTCCGGAGCCGCTCGACGATCCGGTCCTGCGCAGTTACGCGCGCTGCCTCGCCGCCGACATCCTCAGCGTGTGGCGGCGCGTGTCGACGACGCGCGCCACCGCCAACGCCGCCGCCGACGTGTTCGACATGGGACCGCCGCCGCCTGCCCAGCCGCCGCCCCTCAGTTTGGCCGCCTCCAAGGAGCTGTGGATTTTCTGGTACGGCGAGGAGCCTGATCTGAACGAGCTGGTGGCGCCCGAGTTGAATATGTCTGGTGAGTGGAGTTTGTCTAATTGTTCACAGTTCCTACTGCCGTTGAGGTACTTCATTTCACTTGTTATCAGTATTACTTTCTCGGCATTTGCTCCATTTGGTATGCTATTCCTCTATTCGTGAGTAGAAAAATGATTTGAGAAACAAGGGAGACAAAAAAACACTTTGTAATAATATAAAAAAATCGAAATCTTGCCAAATGAGCTTGATAGATTCACTGGGTCCTCACCAAGCAGTTCTTTCTAGACTTGAGGTAGTATACCGGGCAGCGATTTTCCTAAATATACTGCACGCTAGCACAAACCACGCCCACCATAATACGTCATATCTCATACTGTGCTCCAACGCAAGAACTGAAGCTTTCTCGTTGTCAATCTCTTGTACGCAGTAAATTCATACACCCGAATGGTCTACTGGTTAGCGCTGTCGACTCTCAGTCTGAAGGTTCATGGTTCGAATCGCTGTGAACTCGAATTTTTTTTTGCAACTTTTTTTTTTCACCAATGTTTTTTTACTTCATTCTGGTTTTCCTTTTTCATAAAATATTTGAAGTCAAATAGGTTAGTGCGTTTAGGATAAACAGTCTCATTTTATTCAATTTTGTTGAAGAACTAAACTTTTGAAGTATATTATTAATCAATGTGTTTCTACACTCCATTCGGTTTTCCTTCCTCAAAAATATTGCAATCAGGGAAAGGTTAGTTCGTTGAGGATAAATAGTCTCTGAGTTTTGCCTAAGTAAAGTACTTTGAAGATGAGATATAACGTGGTATGTGCTACTTTTTCAATCGATTTATTTATATTAATCAGCTACGTTGTGCTGTCAAAGATTAGATTTTGCAGGATTGTGCTGGGCTCGATTATATTTTGCAATGCCGTAGTAGGGGGCGTGTCTTGTGCTGCAATAGTTTATATTTAGTAAAATCGCTACCGGGCAAGGCCATGAAGCAATGAGAGTAGAGAACATGAAACAAATAATGAAGACTTACTGATTAGATTAGATTGGATTTAGAGTGGGGCCTTCGGGCTATCTGCCTCCACACCGCTACCTTTTCAGATCTATTGTGTCTGCCCTCAAAATCTTTTAGAGTTCTTCGGCTAGCCCCGTCTTCTCTATGAGACTCCATAACTATGCTAGTTTTCAGATCCCCTGTGCAACTTTGGGCTCTTTTTTTTCCTCACCCAGCATGAGGAACCTTAGTCTTGACTAGTGATGTGCTGTGGGTATTAACCCAGTAGCTGGGTATTCATAAATTGTTTTTCTATTTCTCAAGTTATACATAATTTTATTGTTCTTTACACAAGGTTCGCAACAGAAAACTGAAAGAGTTGTTGTTTTTTAATTTCGTTGTTCCTTGTTCCTCTGACATAAGAAAGGAGTCAATTTTTCATATGAGTAAGTTTTATTTTGTTTTTCAAGTGGGTATAGTTTTTTTTTTAATATAGATTCTCTTGTTTATTGTAGTTTTTTGTCAAGGGTGTCATTTCTGTGGTACCAGAATACCAGATACCAGATCCCAGACCACTGGGAGTGAGTTCATGAAGAGTTGTTCAATCTAAACATTGTTTTTGTCAGAGTTTTTGGTTTTTTAGAAGGAAGTCAAATTGAAAAATCTGCTTTGAGCGAGGCTTTGAGACATTAGGCTTGCAAAAATAGTGTAATAAATATGTAATTTTCCACGTTTTCTGTTGAAAAGTTCATAAATATGAAATAGCTCCTGGGTATTTACCCATGATTTGATACTTGTCTTTTGTATAGTTTTCGCAATATCAAATTGCACATAAGGGTTCTGGCCCATTCAGAGCTTTGCTTGCTCCTGAGACTTACTGATACTGCAGATGAATTTGAACGACGTAGTTCTCATCGAGGGTGCTAGCCCCCCCTAGCTGTACTCTCCATATTCTTCTCTGATAGCTGTAATCCATGATCACATCCATCGTCATTGTAATGCATTATATTATGGTTCATGGTTATTTGTTCTTCAACGACTAGCTAGTATCAAACCTGAAATGACTAGAGGCTTCGACCGTCTCAATATATCCCGTCAGATATGAAGAGGCAATGATAGTTTCTGTCTGTGTCATGTCATCGGCTCGCTTAACTGACCTACTGAAGTATGAGAAATGCTATCATTCTGACTCACTATCAGAATACGAGCTATAAAGGCTCACCTGAGCAACAGTCATTATGCGAGCTACAAAGGCTTTCCTGACCAACAGTCAACAGTCAGTAAACGAGATACAAATGCTCTCCTCTGACCAACAATCAGAATAATCAGTCACACACAACATAATATGATATAAACGAATAATATCTCTTCGCTGTATGAACCAAATCTTCCGATCTGAATGCAGGTCTCCTGTGTTTGTGACATTTATGTTCTGTGCTCCCTTGCCCAACGTATTCAGGCATGAAGCACAAGAAAGTGACAGTGACAAGTGACGGCGACAAATTCATTTTATGCCGGTGAACCTGTGATCCAAGAGTTGATGTGCCAGGTAATTCATTTTGTATCATACAATCATATTCCAGACAAAATTTGGCAATTAACGTTTGACGAGCCATGTTTATGAAAACTCTTCTTCGTGCAATGTGATCTCTCCACTAGCAAAGTCCTGCAAATTATAATTGAGGCACTGTTTGATAAACTCCCTTTCCCACTCCTACGCCATAGGCCTCCTTCGATGACAGATGACGTGAAAGTCGGCGGGCTCGCTGAAACCAATTAAATAGTAATTTGTCGCTCAGTTTACGCCGCAATTTAATTTGAGTATCGCTGCGAGAGCCCGTATTTGAAGGTAGAAAAGGATGTATCTCCTCGTGTCTCTCTCATCTCTGGCTACAGCACACCGTTTCTCGGGAGTAATTTAGACAAGATTGCTGGAGGCGCCACATACAATTTAGTCTGTAATATTCCGTAAAACTAGAAATATTCAGCAATACAGTCGCATTACTCCGCAGTTTAGTTGCAGTACTCCGCAGTTTAGTTGCAGTGCTCCGCAGTTTAGAGCAGTACAGTGTGTCCAGTTTTCGATGCTTTTGTGGGATATCTCAGTTATCTTTGGAGATAGAACCTTGCGAGTTTCGCGGTCGTGTGCCACTTTTTTGTGAAACTCAAGATGGCCTAATCAGATTTTGCATAACTGTTTCCGTTTATGAGATACAGGGCGATTTTGAAAATTCATACTTTTTTGACCCCCTCTATATCTACGAAGTTTCTCAGCAAAAATGTCAAATTAAAATCTCATCCCATATAAAAGTTCACGCAGAATCCAGTGGCGCACTCAAAATTTGTTTTCGGGGTATTTTTTTGGAGATACGACTCAAACTTATGATTTTTTAAATTGAACACCCTGTATTTTATAAGCTCATAAAATTCCTCATTTTTTTCCCTTCAAAATGATTTATAATGTATGTATATGAAATTTTCAAAAATGCTCTGAAATCACTGAAACATTGAATTTTTATAGTGGGCTATGGATTTTTCTTATAAAAAAGTTCCAATTGAAGGAATATTCATTTTGATTTTTCCATAAAGAGGACAAAAACAATACCAACACAAATTAACTAAGAAAACACAAAAATTATGTACCTGATAGCAACAAATAAATAGTAATAAGAAGTTCATAATGTAGAATAAGCACCAGATCAAATATTTACAAATACAATTGAATTTCGGAATTATTCGATAACTTATTTACTGAATTGTTCAAATTGATGTCCATTTCCCATAACACACAATTGACACAGTTTCTCAATACGTCTTGATACAGTAAGAGTCACAAATATCTTGAAGAACTTCGTGCAACAACAGAGGCAGTTTTCCAGGAATTACAAAGACATCCTTTAATGATTTTGAATGCATTAAGACGTATTGAGAAAGCGTGTGAGGGAAAGTGGACTTCAATTTGAACAATTCAATAATGAATAGGTTACTATTCAATTGTCTTAGTGAATATTAAATCAGGTGCTTATTCTAGAATATGAACTTTTTATTACCATTCATTTGTTGTTATCAGGTACCTGATTTTTGTGTTATCTTAATTAACTAGGGTTGGGATTGTTTTTGTTTTTTCCATGGAAGAATCAAATGAAATATTCCTTCAATTGGAACTTTTTTTAAATGAAAAATCCATAGCCCATTATTAAAATTCAATGTTTTAGTGATTTTGGAGCATTTTTGAAAATTTCATACCTATTCATTATATTTCATTTTGATGGGGAAAAAATAAGGAATTTAATGAGCTTATAAAATACAGGGTGTTCCATTTAAAAAATCATAAGTTTGAGTCGTATCTCCGAAACCATACCCAGAAAAAAAAATTGAGTGCGCCACTGAATTCTGCGCAAAATTCTGTATGGGATAAGATTCCAATTTGACATTTTCGCTGAGAAACTTCGTAGATATAGAGGGGGTCCAAAAAGTATACATTTTCAAAATCGCCCTGTATCTCATAAACCCAAACAGTTATGCAAAATCTGATTAGGCCATCTTGAGTTTCACAGAAAAGTGGTACAGTACCGCGAAAACCGCAAGGTTCTATCTCGAAAGATAACTGAGATATCACGCAAAAGCATCGAAAACTGGACACACTGTACTCCGCAGTTGAGATCAGTACTATGTAGTACAATCGCACATCGCAGTACTCCGCAGTAAAATCGCAATACTCTGCAGTATAATCGCAAACCTTTAGTGTATTAGCCCACAGTGCTCTGCATCCTGTAATATCTCGTAATATTCCGTAATACACTTCAATATTCCGTATAAAACTAGCAAATATTCAACAATACAGTCGCATTACTCCACAGTTAAGTCTAACTAGTTCGTAGTACAATACGCGAGAATATCGCAATACTTCGTATAGTAAGATCGCATTATAAATGTCAAGTTAATTTCTACCCAAATAAAAGCATGAGTGTAATTCGGTACGACAAATTAATGAGTACGTAAATCACATTATTGTTGATTTTTAAATTTCTCCACCCCAAATTGTGACATTTCCAAAAATTAGATACTATTCTGGTCAACGCAAGATTGAGAAAGATCGACATGAACGCCATCAAAGAATCGTTCACAATTCTGGAAAACTAGCAAAGTTTCAATAATGACAAAATCACAGCGGCTTATGGGATTTTTTATACATTAGTTAAATTGGTAAAAAAAACGTGAATAAAGGGGTTGGCCCGAGGGTTGGCCTCTTCGATGGATAACCCTTAATCTGGACCACCTCGTATAATCGTATAGTTTTACAAGAATTGGCGAATTTCGTGGGATATACTGCGCTTTTACGATGATCGTTAATTAGACGTTTCTGAGAAACCAAGCTACAGATGAATCCGAAAATTTCATGGTTTGTTTTAATTGACATGATCTACACGTCTAAAATATTTTGAACGACGCGGCGTTGCCGCTTCTACTAGAAAGTAGCAGCAACTTTGATTTTTCGAATGAAAACTCTGTAATCATTTGCATTTTTAGATTAAAATAGATTAGTTAATAAAAAGTTAAGATGGGATTATGTAAGCTGTTTTGACCAATAATGAATAGTCCAATTCTATTCAAAATTGGTATCTGGGGATTTTCGGGGTCGGAGATTATGATTATTTCGTCAGAATTTGAAAATTCGGGCGGAATTTGGAAATGCAAGATGGCGGATCCAATATGGCGGACGAGTTTTGTAATTATAATCCGATAATTTTCAAAATTGGTACCTAGGGGTTTTTTTCGTGATCGGGGATTATGATTCCCTTGTTAAAATTAAGAAATTCAAGATGGCGGATCAAAAATGGCGGATTTTGTCATTAGGATCCGATTTTATTCAAATTTGGTATCTGGTGGTTCTCGGGGTCGGAGATTATGATTCTTTCGTCAAAATTGGTAAATTCAAGATGGCGGACACAATATGGCGGTCGATTATTGTAATTTTAATCCGCCTCTCTTCAAAATTTTCATCTGAGTGTTTTCGCGGTCGGAGATTATGATTCTTTTGTCAAAATTTGGAAAGGGCGGGATTTGGAAATTCAAGACGGTGGAACCAATATACCGGACGAGTTTTGTAATCATATACCGATGCTATAAAAATTTGTGAGTGGGCGTTTTCGGGATCAAAAATTATGATTCCTTCGTCAAAATTAGGGAATTCAAGATGGTAGATCTAATATTGCGGACGAGTTTTGTAATTATGTTCCGATTCTATTTAAAATTTTCATCTGGGGTTTTAGGAGTCGGATATTATGATTCTTTCGTCGAAATTGGGAAATTCAAGTGAACTAAAAAGAAGTAAGAAATTATTGGTAGTTTGAAAAACTGAAGAAACAGGCTATAGATAGCGAAACTTAAAAGAAGTAAAAAAAAATAATAGTGTCTTGATGAATATTGAACTGAAAAAATATATTATAGATATAATGTTTATATCAAAACAACGTTTGCGAGGTCTGCTAGTATAATATAAGAAGGGAACAAGCTAAGGGTTGGGTTGTTAGCCCCTCGTTGGCGCGGCAGGAAACACACCCCGCGTTTCTAGTCGGCATCGACCTCGACTCGCCGGAGAGATGCGACATTGGGAAAATGGGAGAGAACGTCGAGATTGGAAAAAGAGCAGCGCGAAACCGTGGATCGTGGGCGGCGAATGGCGGATTCACGGCCGCCCGCCGCCGCCACAGCTTCGTTTATTGATCAACACTATGGAGACTTGACTAGAGCGAGCGCCAGACGAGGAGTCGAAGTTGCCGAACGTAAAATTGTTCACGGAATGTTTCTTAGGCCCTCCGTCGATCGGCGACATGGGCGACGCGATTGCAATGACGTCACAATTTCTGCATTCGTACGATTCAAGAGACGGGAGTGTGTGTCATCCGCATATGGGTCGACGTTTTGTGTAGTCGACTCGCGTCTGATCAACTTAGGCCCTCCGCACACGGGTCGATCGGCGACATGGGCGACGCGATTGCAATGACGTCACAATTTCTCCATTCGTACGATTCAAGAGACGGGAGTGCGTGTCATCCGCATATGGGTCGACGTTTTGTGTGGTCGACTCGCGTCTGATCAACTTAGTTATTGTTTATCCAAAAACAATTGCAGATTCTTGTGTCGCACCTGCAGCCACTTTAAAGGAAACTTCAAAAACGCCGACGCCGCACAGTGCGAGATATTCTGCAATTGATATTGGATATACTATATATACCTTATTTTTTGCAACTTCAAAAAGAAATGTTTCGCTAAAAATGAGCAGTTCCAATGGCGAGGGGGACATATTCATGTTTTTATGGCACCGGCAGATCAGGAGAAGAAGAATACAACGAAGTTTATGGGTGCATTCGTACATTGCACGAAATTTTCACACTCGACTTTTTGTTACTGCAAGTGAAATGCAAGAGAGACACAAAATTTCTGGCATTTTATAGAATGTCGAAGGAATCATATATTGATTTAGTGGAAACTCTTGCTCCAGCCATAAATTATATGGATTCAAATATGAGGGAATGTGTCAGCGCAGAAGAACACATACTAATAACATTGATGTAAGATTCATATATTTCAAAAAATCAAACAGTTCCTAAAGTTGAGAGTATAAATTGGAAACATAAGATTATATGTTCTAGTTACTGAAAGTAAAGAACTAAGGTAGGTAACACAAATATTCACAATGATTGAAAAATTATTGAACAACTTTCTCCATTGAGACGCAAGATTCACTCGATCAAACTGCTTCCTTGCTAATCGCGTGAGACGAGGAGATCGTACGTTTCTAGACGACCACTAAACGACCCGTGTGCGGGATCCAGATGCTTTGCTTAGGAAGTCGAGTAGAGGGGAGACCGTCGTACGATTCGAATCGCGTCGCCCATGTCGCCGATCGACCCGTGTGCGGAGGGCCTTAGTTACTCTATTTTTTGCAACTTCAAAAAGAAATGTTTCGCTAAAAATGAGCAGTTCCAATGGCGAGGAGGACATATTCATGTTTTCGTGGCACCGGCAGATCAGGAGAAGAAGAAGACAACGAAGTTTATGGGTGCATCCGTACATTGCACGAAATTTTCACACTCGACTTTTTGTTACTGCAAGTGAAATGCAAGAGAGTGACACAAAATTTCTGGCATTTCATAGAATGTCGAATGAATCATATATTGATTCAGTGGAAACTTTTGCTTTAGCCATAAATTATATGGATTCAATAATATGAGGGAATGTGTCAGCGCAGAAGAACACATACTAATAACATTGATGTAAGATTCATATATTTCAAAAAATCAAACAGTTCCTAAAGCTGAGAGTATAAATTGGAAACATAAGATTATATGTTCTAGTTACTGAAAGTAAAGAACTAAGGTAGGTAACACAAATATTCACAATGATTGAAAAATTATTGAACAACTTTCTCCATTGAGACGCAAGATTCACTGGATCAAACTGCTTCCTTGCTAATCGCGTGACACTGAAAACGAGGAGATCTTAAATCGTACGTTTCTAGACGACCACTAAACGACTCGTGTGCGGGATCCAGATGCTTTGCTTAGGAAGTCGAATCGCGTCGCCCATGTCGCCGATCGACCCGTGTGCGGAGGGCCTTAAAGCAAACCGCATTGTTCGTTTTCAGTAAGGAGCATGTTAGGAGTATCTGTTGATAGTTACCTACAGTGTGACCCGCTTGAGGGTGGGACACCTCAATAAAATTTGTATGGAATCAACGATCCGCATTGTTCGTTTTCAGTTATTAGCATGTTAGGAGTGTCTGTTGATAGTTACCTACCGCTTACCGCTTGAAAGCGGATCACCTCAATATTTTTTTTATGTTCTGGTTCCCACGAAAAGGGATATCCTGTAATGTTCAGAGAACATCGTGAGAACCAAGGGAAATAAGGTAGGAATTCGTGTTCTGTTTGAATTTCTGGAGGTTATATGCCTCAGGGAACATCTCCCTTGGCAATGTGTTCCAGAGCCTCGCTGTTCGTTGGATGAACGAGTCTTTGGAAAGAGATGTTCTGCAGATCTCCAAAGTGACCACGAAGGGGTGCGAAGCTCCAACTCGACGGGCTAATCTCGCAGGGACTGCCAAGGGAGGAACAATTGTTGATATTTCAGAAGAGCATCGTCCATGAAAATATCAGTTTCAGGGTATGTTTGGGTGCTGCACTCCAAATATGGGAACAGTATTCCAGGACAGGTCAGATCTGTGCCTTATAGGTCATAAGCAGCTGACTGGAGGTGAAATAGCTCCTGACCCGAAACAGAAAACCAAGTTTTTGGGATGCACTTTTAGCAATTGATCTCACGTGATTTTCCCAAGAAAGGTTATTGCTGATAGTAATACCAAGCATCGAAATGGATATCTTCAAAGGTATGGTTATTCCTGACAAGCTCATGTTGGGCACAGTGAGATCGGCTTTTCTAGAGAAAAGGCATGCTTGTGTTTCTTTGTTTGCATTGAAATCTACCAACTTATTGGATTCCCATTTGAGAATTGTTGCCAAGTTCATATTTATGTTGTCAACATTTCTCCCTCGTTCGTTTCTGATTTGCCTGGCTGGTATTGGAACCCTGGAAGAGAAGGCGGTATGGAGGGTACTATATCATCCGCGAAGCTGTGTACTGGACGATTTTTTTTTCAATTGTGGAGCTGGAAAAACTGCTGAAAATACTAAATGATACACCAAGTCATCTTCACGACATTCAATGTGATTGAAACATCATTCAAAATTGGAACATGTTTCAGAGATACGGTGTAACAGGATCGTGGTACACCAAACCATTATGATGAACTTAATTTGGTTATGAATGAAGGAATTTTACCTTTCCTGCAGGATCCAATTATTTTCAGGTTCACACCTGTCGATGTGAGTACTTTAGACTCGATCAGATAGGTCATGGCACTCTCAGGTGGATAATCAAATATCAAATTGAAATCGATATTGCAGTTTGAAATGTCAGCACTTATGTGGTATCATTGGATTCAAAAAATGATGTAGAATTCGAAGATGCAATGATATTCAGGGTGTTTCATCTGAAAATCTAAAGTTATAACCACTTCCGGTGAAACCAGAAGTAGAAAATGGAAAATTTTTATGTGAAAACATGACGTTCATAAAGTTGATGGGTCCTTCCAGATTTCAACAACTTACCTCTAAGGCTAAAGGAAAAAAAACCTAACATCAGAAATTGCATCAATGTCATGGGGATAAAAAAGTTGTGTGGAATACTTTTAATAATGGATGGTTTTCATTCTGAAAATTCATATGGCGAAAACCAGCAAACCCCTAAAAAACTTCTAATTATAAGGAGGAAACTAACAACTGGCCCACCAACGGGTACACATAGATGCACTGTTCTGACATCTGCAACTTTTAGTTCTTGATATTTTTTGATTTCTTCTAATTGTTTCTTCGACAAAACTGCCCTACACTTTGGTTAGTATTTAGTTTTAGTATACTGACAAAATCAATTTGAATAAATTCAGCTCCTGAATACTAGACGATACAATCATCAGCTTTGCATTAATCATAACAGACATTTCAGTCGGAGATAATTATTTTTAGAAGAAAATCATATTCCTGTCGATAATTAGTGATTGAAAGTTTGTAGCATGGATATAGAGGCTCGTATAGAGCTACTAGAATGAAATAGTTTCGTCGGTGTTCATTTTTTCACAGATATTTCGTAGAAATTGAAAAAATATCAAAAACTAAATGTTTATAGAACGTTTAAATTTGAGACACATATGTGAAATTGGAATAAGAATACTTTTCTTGATAAACGTTCTTGAAATTCGAACAAATAAGCCTAATTTCTGCGATTAATTTGAAAAAATATAAATTTTTCAAAGCAGAACTTAACGCCCAAGTCCATTTTCGAAATAAATTATTATTCGAATTATTATCAAAAGTTTCTTCCATATGATGCCGACTTCATGAATGACACTGTATATAGTCGTAAAAAAATACTCCTTCGAAGAGTCGAAGGAGGAATCGTATTCAGCCCCTGGTTCAGCCGGCGTTCGGAAAAATTCGACTCCTCAGACAAAGCTCGCCTTAGCCCCTATAGTTTGATCAACCTGGCATCTCAACTCCTCTCTTTCCTACCAGGGCCGTCCCAACCCATTAGCAAGTTATGCACAGCATGGGGTTGCAATCGTGAGGGGTCCATTACACTTTTCCGAATCGGTAATTTGTTTTGGTCGGTACGACTCTAATATCTCGTTTCTTCAAAAAGTGTGCACACACTTGGCATACTGTTGAACAGCTGAACAAAACACATGGGACACAAGTATGTTTTTCTACTCAAATAACTAAAATGGCATTTAGCGTACTGATATGGGGTCTTCACGTATATTGTGAACCCCCACTTAACTTTTTTATTTATTTAACGTTCTTTTATATTTTTTCCTGTAGATTTCATATATGCCAACAGAAAAACAGTTGAACATTTCAAAAAATACTTATGGGCAACATTTATATTTTTTTCCATAGAACACCCTATATTTTATTGTATTTTTATATTCTTCCTGGAGAGCTGATTTCATCGATCTATCACAATTGGGGTCTAGCTGAAATGATTACAGAGATATATAGGGTGTGAAAAATTGAGATTTTTTCAACTTTAGGAATTCTTTGTGTCGAAACTATTCATTATTGGTCAAAACTGTCTTCAAGTCCCTATCTTAACTTTTGATCCACTAT